ACAACAAATCATTCGAGTCGATCGTTCATCCTCTCGCATTCTCGCGAAACGACCAATGGGGGAAAATGGTAACTGGATGCAGATCGGAAATGACCGCATCCCGATAGCCGGATATCTAATGTCCCACCGTTTCGATCCGGCGCAACGTTGAAAAATACGAGCGATCGGATAAGCACGGTATTCACTAACCATATTCGATCGTTACCCCACTTTTGTGTCGTTCCAGTCTTTTCTTCAGTTCCTCTCACGCTCCTCTTAAGCTTCTCGCGATACTTGGAAATCTCACCTTGGAAGATACGAAAAATGAACGAAAAGAAAAAAAAATATATTAAACAAACTCCGTTAGTTCACTGCGAGTATTTTCGAGCAGTATTCTCGACACTTGCCACGAAGCTTCACCCTTTGGCCCTTCAAGCTGCGCATCGTCGTTTCAAGGATCGCGCGAAATATTAATCGCAACGAGAGAAAAAAAGCAACTTGGCGCGCCTTTCTGAAGCGTCCTCGGTGCCAGAGGTTCGCGCTACTCTCTCGTCGACGAGGATCGCGCAAACTTCCGCTCGTAACAAGACGAACGAGTGTCCGAAAAGGGAATGGATAATCAGTGGGAATTATGTAGAGGCTACCTTGCAAACTGGATGCTTTCTTCCATCTGTTTGCTCCTCGTATCTTTTCGGTAGGACGCGTCGTCGCTTCGCCTAAGTACCTTGCATTATTAACGCTCTGTTATTCGTCGATTAAGCCGTTTTTCACCGAGACACCTGCTAATCGAACTACGAACACTTGCGTCAAACTTGAAGATCTGACGAAATATACCTTGTTAAGCTGAATTATTTAGCGTGTGTCGTAGATGATTCAATTACAATTATTAATATGTATGTTAACATCTACGGATGACGTTATTAGGCGTTATATTTTACCTCAGTTGCAATTCAGATTTTATTACACGCATGAGATAAGCCTAATATTTAATTAAATATAAACACTTACGGAGGACGTACAGTAGAAACCAATAGTTGACGAGTACCAATATTTTAGGAGGAAATAATCTTTTTATAAAAAATTATAAATATGTATATTTTCTCGCCATCTTAGCGATTAGAGAATCAACGTCGATGAAGTGTTAACACTTTATTGATTCTTCAGTTCAGAAACGAACAAAAGTTTCGAGCAGCCAGGGATGTGTATTCGTCCTCAGCCAGCGTCAGACGAATCGAATTAAGGATCAAATTCTTCACGGCGATGCATCCAGTGTGTCCAGGAGGAAAATTCATAAGAATTGATGAACCGAGTTGCGGAGAGTGCGGGGAGGGCGACCCCGTAGGAAATAGTTCGCGAGTTGGGAAACTCGTGAATTTAACTGAGTAATCAGTAAACTCCCATTACTCGCCACTCCCCCTTGCAGCCCCCTTCTTTCCTCGTCCCTGAGCTGAACAACGGAGTGGAAACGGAAAAGGGGAGGGGGAGGATTAATTATTTAGCCGGGAGCAATAAGATATGTCAAAGGTGACTCTTAACTACGGAACCGGCCGAATTGCCGGACCCCGGGGTTCATCGCCACGTTTTAATAATGGCGCATTGCCAGTGACATAAGAAAATCGCGATTTTCATTTCTCCGCGGTAAGAAGGAATAATTGCCCACTGTATATTATAAACTCGGACGATAAAAAAATCAAAAGTTGAAACAAGCCTGCCGGCAAATAAAATCGGTCTCGCTCAGCCAGCCGCCGCTCTCTGTCTGTTGACGAGTGAAATTTCACCGGAGAGCAAACGAGACTACGAAACTTTCCAACCCCCTCTTTCGTTTCGCTTGCACTCGCTTGCATTTCCACCGAACGATCGAGATTTTCACGCGTCGCTCCATTAAACTCCATCTATATCTGGCCCCCCTTCTCCCTTTCTCCTCTCTTCCCGCCGATCTTTCGCCCGCCCGCCGCGGCCGGAACTTTCTTTTTAACAGTCTCTATCCTTTATCTCGGCCATAAGGTAACGACGTCGTAACATGTTACTATGTTATGTATTACGTTGCTCGTAACACGGGTGTAAAGTAGCGAGGCAGAAAGGAAATAAGTCGTAACAGAGCGCTGATTTACGGAGCGCGAGTGCGCGTTCCTCTTGCCTCTGTAGTCAGCTGCAGTCTCGAGGGAGACAACCGCGTTTCGTAGTCGCACGCGTACTGACGAATCCAAATGACACAAAGCTGATTAATGCCACGCCAGTGTCTCTGCTCGAATTTTTCTCTCTGCCGTTGTTTCGAGGAGAGATTCTTTGACGGTTCATCGAAAATTCCGAATCTATGCTTCAAGCGTAAATTTTCGTAGAATTTTCCACATTTTATACGGATCGATCGTCGAGTATGAATTTCGACGAATGCTCGCTGTAACTTCCAAAGGTCGAAGAGCCAGGCAAAAGTAATTAAGAAGTATTTGCACGTGGGAGGGGCGAATACGACTCTCCGTGTTTTAACAGAGCATCACGTAATTCCATTACGATGTAATTTCAACGGCGTCCGCGGCCTTGTTTCAGGTGTCCTGGATGAGAAGCAAGGATCTTCACATTCTCACGTCCGGGAACACTCTGTTCAGCTCGGACACGAGATTCGGTCCTCAGCACACACCGGGTAGCGACGCGTGGACGCTCAGGCTGGACAACGCCAGGAAGACAGACTCCGGCAAGTACGAATGCCAGGTGAACACCGAGCCGAAAATGATGTATGCTGTTCAGCTGTCCGTGCGAGGTAATTGCAGTTCCTCTCACTCTCACTCTCTCTCTCTCT